TAAAAAATAATAGTTTGTAAACCAAAATTTCAAACACCAAATGTTATACAAACTGCCCACCTTTGGTCCTTAATTTTTCAAGTATTTTCACCACTTCTTCGTTATCTTCAATCCCTAAGTATAATTCAATTACTTTTCAATCAAAGATATACATGTGAGATCATAAAAGCAATAACTTTTACCCTTCCTAGATGCATTGTTGATTATGTGCCCCTACTCGGTCATGTTCGAAGACATAAAGCACCATGAATCCAAGAATAATTTCTTAAACTTTTCACCAGGAATGTTATAACTAAGAATTGTTTGTGAAAAAATCATAAGATTTAGAACCTCTAAAAGCTATTATTAGAACTTTTGTGCAGATGATGTGAAGTTTTAAATTAAACTTATACTTTAATTACTACAAATATATAGATCGTATCCGAGTATAGAGAGAATTCAAATATCAATCTCACAGCAAAATTTAACCAATTACCAACATTTATTGAACTCATTTATTATTTAGACTAACACAAATGAAGGTAACTAAATCTACAGTATAAACATGTCACATAAGATAACAAAACTAACAATAAAAGGCTCTTTAGGGTTTTGAATTTCCAATGAATTTACTGGTTAACTAAGTTCGATTACCTTAGTTAAGCAATGGTGTAATTTTCAAAAGTATGTGATACTTACTTTTGCCAGTATACTAACTATACTTATAACTATTCTATACCTACTTTCTGGTTATGAAACTAGGTATAAATTCATTAGATTTCATGAAATTACTTGGTTAAAAAGCACAAAGGTGCACCTCTACTTTAATGAGTATATTTTCTAGGTTTAGCACTTCTATGAATTAATATTGAAAGTATCACTACACCTTTCAATATCTTGAAATAATAACTATTAATGGCATGATAATCATGATTAAAATAGCAAATGTCCTCAATAACCTGCTCAATATATAAGCTTAAATAGCCAAGAAATATTACAAATAAAGCATAGAAAATACATCCAATCTCTAGTCATAAAATTAACAAAACATTAAGACAAAGAAACAAACAAGAATTTTGTGTTGAAACTAAATATTGAAGTTCAAATATAAGAAATCAAAAGTGTAGAGAGAACAAACTCATTTGTGAGCCTCCAATCTCTTCTTCTTCAATCTTCCATCTTTATCCATGTTTAGATGTATACAAAGATCAGATCACATTTATCTAACCTATACTAACTTGAAGAACTAAGAGTTTCAAGTTGAAGTCTACATTTTGGATAGTGATCATTTCTACCCTCCAAAAGTTGCTTCAAAAGGTGGCCTTGGAGGGTATTTATATAGAGGCAAAAAGACGTAAGAAAATGTGAGAACAAACCTTTAAAACATCCCAGCTGCCATCAAACTAATTTAAGGATTTGCATGCATATCATTCAGATCTACTAAGGGATCCAAATGCTACATTTTGTTTATGCTCTCACAATCAGATCTGCACCTAAATTTGTGCCATCCCTATTTGGATCTGCTTGCAGATCCCTCTTGACTGCAGTTTTGTACTTTCTGATGGATTTGCAACATAGCTCTATTTTTCCACTGATTTGAAGCGCAAATGTTTCGATGATAGATGCTGAACTAGCTGTTATAAAATACACAAATTTTTAACCAGTTGAAATAGCTTTCTAATGAATCAACAATGAAAGCATTTAAAAGTGTAAGGAATGTATTATGATTAACTTACTCTAGACTGGTTAGAATATTTGTATTTCAAAATTTTGGATATGAAGATGTGAGAACTGGAATTTGATATTTTGCAAGAATTCTAGATCTTGGTCTTAGTTTTAAAAGAAATCAAGAATCATCTCAATCCAATCTTTGTATCTCCAGTTATAGTCGAAATACCAAAGTATGTCATTTTTGCCAATCCTTTTCCTTACTGTTTTTTTATTGCATTTCATCCCCTAAATCTTTTGCACTTCATGCCACTTGGAATTAACTTCAAATCATCATCCTACAAATATCTTCTCATTGCATTCCAATTGATGATTGAATAGCTAAAAGTTACAAAAACATGAAGTTTTGACCACTTAACTCTATAGAAATGCAACTTTTCTTATTTACCACACAATGATAAATCTAGCTCAAACCCTAGTTTTTTTTTTTTTTATATATATATTTTTTTTTATTTTTTATTGATGAAGCAAAACCGTAATCAGAATTACACAGAGTCCAGCACCCGGACAGACCGCTCCACCTCCCTTACTATCCTTCTAACAGAAGACATGCCTAGCTTGTCTAAACGAATCTCCCCCTTCGCTAACTTCGGAATTATGCTAGTGCTATCATACATAATGTAACCCTGCTGTGGGTGAGAAACACCCACATTGGCCAGAATATCCGCCACCCGGTTGGCTTCTCTGTAGCAATGAGAGACTCTCACTCCGGTAGCTGCCAAGTCCCAGATTTGCTCTATCTCAGGCCGGATCTGCCACGGACACCGGAAGCGACGCTGGATAATCCCCACTAACACCCGAGAATCCGATTGAAGGTCTACTGTTACAAACCCTTGCTTCACACACATCCGAAGGCCGGTTAGCATTGCGAGGGCTTCCGCGTGTAAACTCGATCGTATGCCGAAGAAAGCCGAGAAAGCCAGGATAGGCCCCCCAGAAGCGTCACGCAAGATACCACCTCCCCCACTACACCCTGGGTTACCCTTGGAGCACCCATCCGTATTCAGAGTTAAACAGCCTGGCCTTGCCGACCACCGCACTATGTGAAAGCTAACTCTACTGGCTGGCTTACTGGACAACTCGTAGAGCTGAGGAAATGAGAGACAACCAAGCCTCTTATGAAAATGAATCTCCATCGCTAACCTTATGTCGGACGAAACGGCTTGACAAATGGTTTTTGAGTGCATCCGGACCCCTTCAAACATCGATGCGTTCCGCGCCCTCCAAATGTGCCAGCCAATGAAACTCGGCAGCAACCTGAAGATAAACCGTCTGTATGCTGAGCACGGAGACGACATCCACCAAGCCACTACCCTCGCCCGCAAAGACGACCCACCATACATAATACCGTACAAACCAGTAAAATAGGACCACACCTCCTTAGCCGCCTGCCCCTCAGAAAATGCATGTTCCACCGTCTCGCACGCTCCCTCCGGGCAGCACCAACATTTAGATGGCCTCATCTGAAAACCCATTTTACACAACACATCAGGGAGTGGCAACCTCCCCAACAACAATCGCAGCATGAAGAAAGAGATTTTCAACGGGATGCGAGGATGCCAGAGATGAGAATGGACGAAAGAAGGGCAACGAGCCTGTCGAACCTCCTCAAAAGCCGAAGCCACTGAAAATTCGCCAGACGAAGTCAATCTCCATATGGGCTCATCCGCTCGACCACCGTAAGGGATCGGGAGTGATACAACAGAAGGAACTAAGTCAGGGGGAAGAGCTAGGGAGAGTAAACTTGAGCTCCACTTTCCGTTAACGATGAAGTCATTAAAGGAGAGGGTTGGGGCCACCGTAGCCTTATGAAACAAAGCGCCTGTCTCAAGCCAGTTATCAAACCAAAAATGGCAAGACCCCCCTGGATCCGCCAACCCACAGAAAATTCTGCTTGCCTACTAATGTTTACCATTCTCCGCCAAGTGCCGGAGACGTGACGACTCAGCTCCACCTCGCACGGATGGAGGTCTCGACAATATTTAGCACGCATAAAGCTCGCCCAGAGTGATGATCCGGCCCTAAACTGCCACCACAATTTACAAGAAAAAGCCATATAACTGTCACGTAACCTTCTGAGACCCACTCCTCCCTCCTCAACCGGGTAGCATAATTGAGACCACCCAATCCAGTGATACCTCGTGCCTTCGTCCGAAGCACCCCATAGGAAGTTCGCGCACACCTTTTCCACCAATCTGAAAAGCGAAGCAGGTAACACCGCAGCCGAGAGCAGGTGACCCGGAACAGACAAAAAGCACATGCCGAATCAAGGTTACATAGCCTTTGTATGTTTTAAATATTTTAAGAGTTAACCTTGAGTCTTACATCATTGATTTTTGGATATTCGGCCTATCAATTAGCCTTTCTAGAAAGATAGCTAAGAAGTCTGGGACTTGTAAGGCTCATCATCATTGTTAAATTATCAATCGGTTCTTTGCCATATTTTTTGTGATCATAAATGAGTTTCATGGTATTTTAATTATCCATGCGGTCATAATTATCTACATGAGATCTATTTTCCAAAAGAAAAAAAAATAGCATTTGAAAAAACACAAATTTACAAAGTAACTTTAGTTTCTCATAATAAATGACATTTAAAAAATGATATTAGTTTGTTCCAATATTTTTTCAAACACCAAATGTGATAAGAACTACTCACATTTGATCATTAGCTTATCAAGTACTTTCACCACGTCTTCGTTATTTTCAATTCCTAAGCACAATTCCATTACTTTTCAATCTAATATATATATATATATATATATATATATATATATATATATATATATATATATATATATATAAATCATTAAAAGAATAACATTCCTTTTCTTGTATGTGTTGCTGAATGTCACATCCCTAGCCTTTCACGCTAGAAGATGTAACACATCATGAATCCAAGAATGATTTCTTGAATTTTTTCACCGAATATTGCCACACTAAATGGGAAAATTTTGAAAAAGGAAATGGAAAGATTCAAATTCATAAAGAAGGTATAAGTTTTGATAAATTTATAAAAAGGGAAAAAGGCTACTATAGCTAAAATGTTAAATAAAATACATGTTGCTACTAGAATGATTAAATGGCCCACAAAATAGTACTCCCTTCGTCCTGCAAAGTCTATCGTACTTGGGAAACAAGGCTTTTTATGCACAGTAACATCCACTTATCTGTAAACTCATGTGTTCCAAGTTTGCCCTTTACATTTCACTGACTCGTCCAAGAAACAAATGGGTCAAAGTGAGACCCATCAAAAAGCACTCCTTTGTTTCAGCTACAAAAAATTCATTTCCTTATCAAAATCTTCTTCATCCAAGAAACAAATGAGTCAAAATAGGACCCACCAAAAAGCCATCCTTTGTTTCATCCACATAGAACCGGCTTCCTTATCAAAATCTTCTTCTAGCAGCCATTCATCACCGTCTACTATAGAATCCTCTCTGATTCTCCATAGTTAGCCATCCTTCAATTGCTGCAAATTAAGCTACGATAATTTCTCTGGAATAACTACAAATTCCCTCTTCTCATACTCCATATTCACTTGAAAGTTTTCACCTTTGATTACAAGTGCTCCAGTTGAAGAGAGAAGCATTGGAAGGACATGAAGTAGATTTCTAATCCAAAGTTGATAACAAATGAGATTAAAAGGTTAGTTAATTGTCTTTTATTCTTTCTTGTTAATGGTTTTTTTTTCTATTTTCTCATGTGAGAAAGGCTGGATCTTTTAAACTTTTTTAATGTTTATTTATTGATTATTTTGTCTATAATTTCTTAAAGATTTGCAGCCAAATTATTTACTGAAAATTTGGGTTGTGGCAGATTGCTCCAAAAATAAGTCTTGAAATGGCTATTTTAAAATATTTAATGGGATTATACCACTGACTTGTACCTCTATATATGCAGTCCGTTTGTTTTTTTTTTTAACACTTTGTTTCTTCTTTTTTACACCATGTTTCAGAGGTGACTTTTAAAAGAAATATGGATACTTTTAATGATGTTGAAACTAACAATTCTACGAAGAGATTAACTAATCAAGAAAGACAAATGATTTTTGAAGCATTATTACAGGAAAGTAATGCAGGTAAATAGAAAAAGGGAACGATCAAGAACATTGCAAGCCTATTTAAAACAAGTGTTAGGACAGTCCGGAGAATTTGGAAGCTAGCAGCAATTACTTCTATAGATGGAGGAGTTGATGTATCACGCAGATTTCCTAAAAGATGCGGGAGAAAACGAGTGGAGATTGATTTTACTTTGATCATGGCAATTCCTCTTTGGCGCCGAACAAACATCAGGTCACTTTCCAGTGAAATGAAAGTGTCCAAATCAACCCTTCACCGACGAATTAAAGAAGGTGCTATAAGGCCACACTCAAATGCACTCAAACCACAATTGACAAATCAGAATAAACAAGTAAGGCTTAACTTTTGCTTGTCAATGCTTGAACCAAAAAGTCTCAACACCAATCCAATGTTTATGATTATGTTCAATGTTGTGCATATTGATGAAAAGTGGTTTTATATGACTAAAGAATGTGAAAAGTATTATCTTCATCCTCAAGAAGAACAACCTCTTAGGACATGTAAGAGCAAAAAGTTCATTGTGAAAGTTATGTTCCTAGCTGCTGTTGCTCGACCACGTTTTGATTGCTCTGGTAACCCAACATTTGATGGGAAAATTGGGATTTTCCCTTTTGTATTCAAAGAACCAGCAAAGAGGAGTAGTAAAAATCATATGGCAAGTACATTAGAGACTAAGCCAATATTGTCAGTGACCAAGGAAGTATATAGGAGATGTTTAATTGAACAGGTTTTGCCTGCAATACTTGCTAAATAGCCACGAGATAGTGGTAGTGTTACTGAAATTTTGATCCAACAGGATAGTGCAAAACCACATATTAATCCCATTGATCCTGAATTTATTGAAGCTGCTTCTAGGGATGGATTTGATATTCACTTGTCATTTCAACCTCCTAATAGTTCGGACATGAATGTTCTTGACTTGGGATATTTTAGAGCAATACAATCCTTGCAACATCAAGAAGCACCCATATCAATTGATGAGCTAATTTTTGCCGTGGAAAAGTCATTTGATCAATTATCAAGTGAAAGTTTGAACAATGTTTTCTTAACATTGCAATCATGTATGGTAGAGGTGATGAAAAATCTTGGGGGAAATAACTATAAAGTGCCACACATTGGGAAGCACCATTTAATGAAAGAAAGTTGTCTTCCACTACAAATAGAATGTGAAAAAGAACTTGTGAATCAAGTTCTAAGTCATACGCAAGTATGATTATCTTCACTGGACAGGCCAGATTTTATAAAGCTTTTTTGTTTTTTAAGATTTTTGATCTCTAATTTCTTGTGTGTATGGTTGTTTAAACTAACTAGTGTTCTTTATTTTCATATTTGTAGGTACTTAAACTGTATTAATCATGTGTTTTGAACAAAATGGTATGGGTGTTCTACTGTGCAAAATGCACATGTACTAAATGTTCATTTGTTTAGCTATTCTTGTTCACTTTGGTCTGGAGCATCTTTATTTGTTGTTTTTCACTAAGTTGTGTCCTATCTTATCTTTTGGTAGATGGTTGAAGTCAAGCAATCAAGCCTTTTGATTTTGTGGTGCAAGCTTTTGATTGGGCAAAGAATATAGAAGCACTTTTATATACTAGTGATTTTTGGATTGATTGCTTTTATTTCAATTTGCAAGATTTTAGAATAGCTCTGTAAAGTTAGCTTGATGTTAGTAGCAGTAGTATGACTTTTGTACAAAAGGGAAAATGTGCAATGCTGAGTGAAGCTATGTACATGTATAGACATTGAAGTACTACTTTTGTTGGAGTTTTTGAAACTGTCAATAGCATTATTCTATAAAGTGGAAATATTGCATATTGGTTTGCATTCTTTTGCTCTTTGGTTGGTGGAATATCTGTTTTTGCATTTTTGTGTTTTGGAATATTAAAGAAAAATGAGAGGAACTGACACTTTCATAGACTACATTTAAATTAAATTTGGTAGTGACTGTAGTTTTTTTTTTCTCCAAGTAGAATAACATGCCTTATTATTTTGCTCATTTAGTTTTTGTGTCAATCTAAAATTATTCACCTATTTTTACACCATTTTCTTGTTTTTAATATGAATTTATTTTGTGAAAGTTGATCATTCTTAACAAATTAGTGCATATGAAAATAATTTAAAAATTGAAAGCTTTCAAAAGAAAATCACTAATTAAGTCATCTCGATATTCTATTTACTGCAAAAAATCGAAATGATCCTCTTGATAACAAAACCAGTCTTCAATTGAACTTTAAAAGAGCCATATACACATTCTTGGTGATGAATTTGGCTGGAGTCGGGACCAAGAATTTTGCTAGAGCCGGAAGTCTAACATGGTACAAGTTGGGACATTTGGATGTCCTTTGGGACCACACATCAATTTGTCGGCCAACTAGCACATGCATTATCACATCATTAGTGGAGGGCAGAAATGGGAATTCATAACTTAAAATAGTTTGAAATGTCAAACATGACAAATATTTTAGGACATCCCAAAAAGGAAAGTATGACACTTTTAATGGGACGGAGGGAGTATATCACTACTGACTTGGACATTAGTAAAATTTTATAATAAATATGAAGAAGAAATTAGTTTTCCTAAATCTCTCACACCACACAATCATCGTCTCCCACACCTAAATTGACATCTCCTCATTTAATTCTCAAACTAAACATATTCATCATAATTGCCTTGTTTATGACTTCAAAATTCATTTGCATTTCATAGTCTAAAGTTACCATTCCAAACATTACATTGTAGAAGAACCTCAATCCCGACAATTATCATAAACTTTCGACATCTCTCACCATTATTGTAGCAGTTACAGCAGCCACATAGTGGTACAATTCTATAATAATGTTCTTTATGTATTTTGAATGCCCTTTTATTTTCTTTTTTATTTATAAAGTTTGTCTAATAAGAAGCTATTTGGACAAGATAGTAACTTAGCATAGAGGAAAGTCATTATTTTTAGAGAAAAAAGTCCCAATAGCCCTTCAACTTTTAACCAGGTGAACTTTTGACCCTTTAACAATTAAAAAAAAACTTTTGACCTCTGATCCATCAAAAGAACAAATTATTGGTCATTCTGTCAAGTTCAGCAGTTATAAGTGACGGAAACCATTATTACGTGTGACACATGAGAAAATATGAAGGGCATTGTAGTCCACCCAGAAAGCTGGAAACCAACACGTCACTTTGCAGATGAGTCAGATTCATGAATATTATCTCCTCTGCCAATATTGTTAATCAGCAGGGACAGATGAGAAATTGAGTCAAATGAAAGCAGCTTCAATCTCTCACCAAACCCATTTAAGTTGGCTTTTGCCGAAACAGCAAGTTGTGAGAGTTCAGGAAGCTTTAAGGATTTCAAGATGTTAAAGATTGATGGATGATGACTCCATGAAAGGAGAATCAATACCCCAGATTGATATACAAAGCAATCATGAGTACCGGCAGCAATGAAATAGACTTCAATTTTATGAAGAACCAAGGTCTTGCTTTCACCATATCATTGTCAGTTCCATTAGACATACGACAACTATTAGGTGAGAAACCAGATCAAGGTTTTTGGTTCCTCTTTTTCTTCAATAATCCCCTTGAATGATTTCTTAGTAATCGGTTCACCGATGGTTGGCACTGGGACTTTTTTCCCTAAAAATTATAGTGAAGATGAGAAACCAAAAAAAATGAAGATATTTGAATAGGGAGAAAATGGGGGGAGAGGTGTTAGTACTAAATCGTATCAGTAACAATTACAGATCTAAAGTAACAGTTAGTTACAAATCTAAAACTATCTCATCTTTCCATGTGTGGATGATGTCTAAGAAACAGAGGTTTAAAATTTCTCAAAAAAATAAAAAGGAAATAAAGAAAAGTCAACTGGTAATTAAGGAAGCATTGTGCTGGAACGGGGCTAGAGGTGGATCTCCGGTGGCAGCAGCAAGAGCACATGATGACAACAACAAAGATCTACTGAGTGGGTACGTAACTTGACTGGAATCGACTGCTTATCTAGGCAATCTCTGTGGAAGACATGAGTGGACCTGGAAAGCTACCTCACCTTGAGCTTCAAATCTATGTGGTCTAGGCAAATGGTGCAGATCTTCTGTGGGAGAATATCATCTTCTTAGTTCGACGATGGTGGTGATGATTCTGCTTCTTCTTCTTGTTCTTCTTGTTGAAATTATTGGTAGAATCTCATGGGCAGACAAGAATGCCCATACTAATTCCTCGTGCATCGCATGTGATGTTGCTTTCTGTCATTCTCAACTGCTGGAATTGACGGAAGAATCAATATTTTGCACTTTTGATAGATCGGGGACCAAAAATTTACTTCTAATTGTTGGAGGGCTAAAAGTTGACCTGGATAAAAGTTTAAGAACCATTGGGACTTTTTCCTCTTATTTTTATAACTTTCTTTGGAGTACTTAAGTATTATGCTATTTATGTATATAGATATTTATTTCAACATCAGTACTTTGCTCTAGCAAATAATTGTGCGATTGTTTTTCTAATTAAGGAGAAAATAATTATAGGTTGTTGATATTAGATAATTTTTCATAAATAACAATACTGATGTGTTTATTTGGATAATTAAATTGACAAAAATATGGTGAAAATATTTCTAAATTGGAAATAGTCTAGCTAGTATTATTTTTTTGAAAGTGCCATTCTTTACAATTTTTTTGACCATATGATTAAGTAAGATGTCTTAAATTCATGTAATAAATCTATAGATGTATGCGTATAAATGTTAACATGTGCTCATGTAGAGCTGTGCACACATACTTATTCATATTTGCATAATGTTGCGTTAGTTTCTTGAAGTATAAAAGACAATGAATGAGTATACAAGGCAGCCATAATTCTTGGTTTTGTTTGAAATTTGTGCTAATATAATTTGACATTCTTTTTTTTTTATGGGAATGCTCTATTTGAACTTTAGGGAAAGTAAAAGTTTGAATATAGTTGGAAGATATAAACAAAGGTGTAGATTGGTACAGAAGGAAAGAAAATATGAGTTTTGTTATAGTGTTGCATAGCTCTGAAATTACACAATAGTGAACATAAACTATCATTTTCATGAACGTATTAGAAAATATAAATGTTGATTAATAGCAGAGACACTTACCTTTTTTTTTTTTTTCAATGGCAATCCCCATTCACGGGGTTGAGATGCTAGCATAAAATTTTATTAAATAATAAATAAAACTAACAAAAGCTCGATGAGGGCCAAACCTGATCTCGAAAAATTAATGACCAAAAATAAAAAAGAGGTACTACTCCCTTACAGATGAGAACGAACATAATAAAAAAGGAATACTACTCCCTTACAGATTGAGAACAAACATAAGAAAAAAACCTACAATCTAACAATAATGTTGATTGTATACTCGAAGGTAATTGACTAGCCGAAGAAGAAAGGAATCTGAAGAAAGAAGAAGAAGAAAATCACCTTGGACTTGACATTGCACGAGCTAATTGGTCGAAACTGATGCCATTGTGAAGCACCTTGAATCTTAGGAATAAGGACTATAAGAAAACTGGTGAAACCACGAGGTTGCTGGCCTCCCATAAAAAATTGTGAATTGCTACTAATAAATCATCCTTGATAATAGACCAACAACACTGATAAAAGCCAGCACCAAATCCATCTGGCCAGGAGCGCTATTCAGATTCATTGAAAAAACCATCGATTTAACCTCCTCCAATGAAGGGAGAGTGCAAATCATTTCATTGTTTAACTCATCAATCTAAAGTAACTGAAAAAATAGATGGGGATCCACATGACCATCCCAATCCGAAGAAAAAAGTTTAGAATAAAAATCCACTACAAACTACTTCATCGGATCCAGCTCCTCTAACCAAATACCCGATTCATTCTTCACTCTAGAAATAAAATTGTAATTTCTTCTATGCTTAACACAAGAATGAAAAAACTTCGTATTGGCATCTCCGGCCTAAATCCATTTAACAGAAGCTTTCTGCCACCAAATTTCACACTCAATTGCAACATCTCTAGTGTAAACTACCCTTGCATCCCCAAACCTAGTTTGAGGTGCCTCATCCCTTAGGGAATCATATTCAGCCTCACACTCCTTCATATGAATTTTAGCCTCTTTCACCTTAGAAAAAATCTTTCCAAAAATCTGAGAACTCCACTGTTTAAGACGACGTCTCGTATGCATCAACTTGTTAAAAAATAGTTGCATCCCTGCAATCGAGACAAGAGCTTCCCAAGCCTCACTTACTATTTGAATAAAAGTGGGGTGTTTCTGCCAAACATTAAGGAATTTAAATGATGACTTTTTAGTTCCAACTAATCCACACTTAACCAGCAAAAGGCAATGATTCGACCTTCCTCAGGTCAAATGTGAAACCCAAGTAGTATCAAACAAATCTGCCCGAGCACCATTAGTCAACATCCTATCCAACCTCTGCCACACAGAACCATTTGTCCAACTATAGGGGCTGACCATCAAAGTTAACTGACAAAAGACCACAATTAAACATACACGAATTAAACTCATCCATTTTCCTAGCATTAGCTGGGGCATCTCTAACCCTCTCTATAGCCGAAGATATAACATTAAAATCTCCTCCTACCATTCATGGTGACTGAGAATCCAATCGTATATCCTCTAGAGCTTGCCATAACGATCTCCTCCCCACTCGAGTACATTTTGCGTAAACAACTGATAACCAAAAAAAGTAATCAAACATAGAGGACACATTGCATATGAACCATGAGGCGAGGAACCATTGCATATGAACCATTCACCATTTCATTAAAATCTAATGAAAATTCATCA